TAGGGTTTAGGGTTTACTAACCCTAAGCCTTAATCAAATTTTGTTGTTAGCAGCAAACGGCGGGGATCCTTAAAGTAGCCCCTGTAGACTCCTTGGTAAGAATGAAGGTGGTTTCCATGTTTCGTTGTTGGATTCCTTCACTTGCTACTAACCAAGAGCAAGTTGGTGTTTTAGGGGTGGGTGTCCAAGATTTCGTGTTAGGGGGATGGGGGGGGGCTAGAGTAATTAGGTACCGCAGGGAGTAGAATTTGGGTTCAAGGAACATCCAAAGGTAATCTTTGGGTTTACCAAAACCAAGGGGTGATCCAGGTTCCCTTTTGCAGGGAGTCCGAGTTTCCAAAAGTTTGATACTCTGGATTTGGGTCACAGTCACTGTAGCCTTGGTTGTGGTACTTGTGCCAGGGCCTCCATATTTTTTGAATGATGACGTCGTTGTCTTCCTAGCAACGAGTTTCTGTCTGCCCTCAACTGTACCCTAAACCCTACTCCTCCACTCCCTCATGAAAATCATATACCTTGACTCAGCTTGAGGATGCTGGTTTCTTTTATATAACCCTAAGGCTCAAAATAGCCCAAAAGCCTTGTATAGTATGGTTTTTGGGCCCAAAAGCCTTATATTATGAGTCCTTAGAGCCTTAGGGTAATAATTCTTTGACTAAGGTAAATTGGGCCTTATGTTACCAAGGCTTTGCCTCCTTGACCTCTTAGACTCTGAAGGCTGAATGTAGGTTTCTACAATAGTTGCGCATTTTTGGTAGCAACTGCTGTGAGGGTTGTAATATCTTGGGATATGATTATACGGGGCTCCCACTGAGTATGGAAACCTGAGCCTCAAGCCCTAAACCCCAAACCCTAAACCCTAAACCCTAAGCCACTTTTACAGCACAGCCGCCCTTTAGGCACGAGAGGAGCGGGAGCAGTTCCTCCGGGAGGCTGAAGAAGCCAAGCAGAAGGCCTGACATTGTTAGGGTTTAGGGTGTAGGGTTTAGGGTTTAGGGTTTAGGGTCCAAGTACCTAATAATCCTGTACTTACCCAAAACCTGTACTATAATTACTATTCCCCAAATCCCGAGTACCTAATTATTGGGTACATGGACCCTCTAGGTTCCGCACTAATTAGACGAGTCCCCTCTCCCTGAACAACCTCCCCTTGACTTGTTCCTACTCCCGATGCAGTACACGCATGTATGATGAAGCGAACGTTTTCGTTCAGGGGGATTTTATAGTTGCGGGGGAGGGGGGGGTAAGTAGATACTATTCCATTTCAACTGTTATAATCACACTCATGCACCCAATGACGAGGTCCACAGCAATGAGAGAACCCGAGAAGTAAACAGAGTCCTAAACCTTTCACCCTCATGCGAACCACGCCTAGCAGCTGGAGTATAATCCTAGACCCTCCTCCAACCCTCTCTTAGGGCCTAAGTACGCACTTTTAGGGACCATATATCCCCAATTAAGGGTGCAAGGAAGGTCCTGGATGACCAGGGGTGCTTCTTGAAATGCCCTGCGGTAGTAGATGGTATGTGTATGATAAAACCATAAGACACGCACTGTTTGGATTTGGTGTTGGGTGCCTGGATGTTATTCGTATCTGGGGTGCATAGGGACAGAAGCAGCGCCCACCCCTACAGCAGTAGAAAGCACACACTCGAACGGTTTCATTTGAAAATGGGGCTTCAACAAATATGTGAGATAGGCATGGGTGAAAGTGGCCATGTGCTGCCAGGCTCTTGAAGAGCAACAGCAGGCAGCCGCAGAAGCAGAGGAAGCAAAGCTCAAGGCCCGTGATATCAACACCCAGACAGATAATGCCGGGCTTTCTCCAAATTGTGGGTACAGGGTTTGGGGTTTATAGGTTGAGGGGCTGGTACCTACATCATGGTCTTTCTTTCGGGGGTTGACAGCCTAGATTTCCGTACCATACGAAGGTACAACAATTATCAGAGATCCGTGTTTCTAGGGTCATGCAAGATGTCAAGTATCAACTGTCGGAACGGAAGCATCAACGGTTAGTTGTTGCGACCTGAGCTAGCAGTCGAACAGTTTATAAGTTCAAGGATATCTTCGAGCTCAAGTATGCTGAGCTATTAATACATTGAAAAGGTTCTTGAGTATGCGTTCAAGTTTACAGTCATAGCAAGGTTCCCCAGCGCTTCAGTAGAAAACTCATCGGTAGCATGAGTTGCTATGGGGCTCAGTTGCTGTTGGCGTCCCGCTTGTTCAGCGAATCTAGCCTGTAACCCCAAACCCAAAACACCATACCGTATACTCCTTAATGACTCCTCAATTAAATCCCGATGAATCTCCTACTTGAGAAAGGTCCTAAACACAGAATCCCAAGTGTCAGGCCAATGCCGAGCAGGAAAAGTTCTTCCGCGAGGCTGAAGAAGCCAAGCAGAAGGCTCTTGTTGGGCTAATTGTCATCCAGACCCCCGATCAGATCCCAAAAATGAAGCTCATAAGGATGTACTGTACGGGTCGCAGATTTAGTGTTTAAAAGATCCAAAAAATGCACACCCCCAAAAAGAATGTAGGTAATATTTACAGACTTTAGGGCCCAACGTAGGTATTATTTGTATACTTAGATCCCCAGGGTATTGAAACATCGGTAATGGGATATCCGTTTCATGTATGTAATTCCTGTTCCTTGCAGTAACCACCCGGGATGCTACCTCCCCTTGGATTCCCCTTTGAATAAGATTCTTTAGGGGAAGTGAGGTTGATGATAGTAGTATGTTTTGAGCTCGTTTTTGGATCCTGTAAGATGTCTTGGTAACAGATCATCAGCAGGGTATGTGTGGATGTCTTAAAAAGATCGAGATTCAATGGGCAAGTTTATGGAAACTGCTACATACTGTTTGAGGGCTTCTGGCTCCGGGTTGCTTATTGTATCCGTAGATGAAAATTCAAATTGCCCTGAAGCAGAAGTCCTAAACCATGAACCAGACACCCCAAATCCGGAAAACGAAATCCAAGCCCAGAAACATAACTCCTGAAACTAAGACAAAGTCAACCTTTGAGCCTTGAGCTATACGGCTGAGGGTTTAAGGTTTAAGGCTTAAGGTTTGGGCTTTAGAGTTTAGGGATCAAGAATCAGGGCTGGAGGTTTGTCATCTAACCCTGAGCCTGAGGCAGTAACTTTGATGAGATCGTTGGACACGCTTAGCCAGAATCCCCAATCAGTTTTCAACCCGTACAACCAGTGTAGAACCATGAGTAAATACCAGAATTATTCCTGTACAATCCTCATACAATTGTACTAAAAGCATACCCCCTCATAGATGGCAGGATTCAAACGGCCTCTACATGGAACTGTGCGGATACGCGCCAGGCTCTTGCTGCGCAACAGCGAGTTGCAGAAGAAGCAGAGCAAGCAAAGCTCAAGGCTTCATCTACTTAGGGTTTGGGGTTTAGGGTTTAGGGTTTAGGATTTAGTGTTTAGGGTTTAGGGTTTAGGATTTAGGGTTTAGGGTTCTGGGTTTAAAGCTTGGGGTTCATCTCCGTAAGGGTCCAAGGACCCCCTAGGGTTTCAGGGCCCAAATACTATTAATTCGCCTAGGATTTAGGGTTTAGGGTTTAGGGTTTAGGATTTAGGATTTAGGGTTTAGGGTTTAGGGTTCTGGGTTTAAAGTTTGGGGTGTATACTTACAACCAGGATTGTGTATTGGACCCTGTACTTACTACTCTAAGGGTAGTTGCCAGCCTGTATTGTTTGGTGGGATCATTACGCCTCTGCCGCTTGGCTTGATCTGAGGTGCGCAGTACAACGCTTGGAAGTACCTGGACCCCAAAAGTAGGTAAAATGATAGCCCAGAACTCCTAAGCATAGCCCAAAGTCCATTATTCTACATAGTTTTGGAGTTCAGGTACCCATGAACTGTTTCCCAGCTAGTTGTCAAAGCACTGCCTCTACTGGCTGGCACCACAGCCAGAGGAAGCCGCTCGGATGTCTACAAGCAATCCCCTAAGGGTCCAAGTACCTAATAATCATATACTTACCCAAAACCTATACTACAATTACTATTCCCCAAAACCCAAGTACCCAATTATTGGGTACTTGGACCCTCTGGGATCCTTATTCCAAGTAAAACCGCTAGGACACAGTCCTGACAAATATTGGCTTGACCTTACTGAGGGTTCTTGCCTTCGTTCTGCTTTGGACATAGCGAATCCGCTTGTACAAAGAGAAAACTTCCCCCCTGCCAATCTTGAATATTCTCGATAAGACACGCTTTATATGGCTCGTATATCAGACCCCGCCCCCCCACTCCCCCCGAATTCAAATCTGACTCTACATTTAGTGGAGTCGGATTCCCCCGAAACAAATTTCGGGCGCGGTTTCAGGTTGGAACCAGTAGGAACAGTGTTTCCGGGCTCTGTAGCTCAGGTAAAAGGATTTTAGATTGACACCCGTAGGCTCACATCCCAACTGATTATTTGGGGGCGCTCAACTTGATTCAATTCAGCCACCCAAAACGAATCGGGCCAAGGCCCCCCCCCCACACACTAATCGGGATCCAACATTATTCCCTACACACATGTACTTGCCGATGAGGGGTTGAGCGATGCGGAGCTCTTACTGGCAATGCCGTAATCCGTACTCGCCGTTGCCATATACCCTCTCCCCCTAATGTTAAACCGCCTCTCTCCCTAATATTAAGTATTCCCAATATAGGATACGCGAGTATTCAATATTAGCAAGGTGGGGTGGTGTAATATTCAGGGAGAGGAATTGCTTGCAACGCAGTCTACCCAAGCGGCCTTGCAAGACCTTGAACCCCTCTTCCAACTATTCCACTATTCCGGCCAACGCGTACCCCACTGAGCCCTACTGGTGCCTGTTTAGGGCTTAGGGGGAGTGAATCAAATTAATCGGAGGCTTATGTCATGGGGATTATTCCACGGATCCACGCACCATGTCCTTGAGCACAACTATTTCGAAGCGTAAAGCTCTAGACCCTAAACTTCCAAATCCCGCATGAACCCTAAACTTGATAAACCCCATATGGGAGCTTCACAAAATACCCTCTGAATGATCCCAAGTAAGGACCGCAATAATCCCATCAGTAAACCGGTATATATCCCGACCTGTTCCTGGGGGCCCGCCTTTTGGCTTAAATAACCCCAAACCCTTATTCCCCATGGTCCCTAACCCTAAGCCCTAAACCCAAAACCGTACCACTTGCCTTGTACTTGTGCAAGGCCTCGGCAGAGCAGGAGAAGTTCCTCCGCGAAGCCGAAGAGGCGAAGCAGAAGGCCTTGGGCAAGGGACCTTCTTTAGGGTTTGGGTTTAGGGTTTTAGGGTTTGAGGGTTTAGGGCTTCATGTTCCCGATAGGTCCATGTAGCTACATGACGACATTGTAGGGTTTAGGATTTCAGATTAATTTAGGGTTTAAGGTTATGTAGACACTTGGGCTCCGAACTAGTGATACGGGAACCAGTTTGGGCCCTGAGCATATACTTTATACCTACATGGACCCTTCGGGACTGTTTAGCGGGAGAATCATGCACCACCTCAAGCCCCTAAACTTCTAGGAATTCCCAAGTTGAGACGACCTAGACTCAGGGTTTAGGGTTTAGGATTGCAAGATTCACTCCCGCAATCGCGGGGAAGAGCCACAGGGTCCTAGATGGTGGAAAGTTGCCACTTCAGCTCCTATCTTTTTATGAGGTCTCTTCGAAACAAAGGCCTATGCCAGATTCAGTCAGTCCCCTTCATTCTCCGAACCGCTACTTACCGAACCTAAGAACCCCTCAGCCATAGAGCAAACCCCCTTGCCCTCAACACCCTCCCATGTGCAGGTCCACATATTCATATACTGTCCCCATAGAACCCTACCATACAGCAGCCATTACGTGCATCCCAAATGATCATTTTTTCACTTTGACCCCTACCCTAAATCTTAGAGCTGAAGCCCTAGAAGCCCTTGACCCTGACTTAAACCCTAAACTCTAAACCCTAAACCCTGACCAAACTGCAGTGTTGCAACAAGGCCTTGGAAGAGCAGCAGCAAGCTGCGGAGCAAGCAGCTGAAGCAAAGCGGAAGGCCTCCCCAAAAGGAATCCAGAAGTTTAAGCAAGGGTTTAGGGTTTAGTGTTTAGGGTATAGGGATATTACCCGCAATAATTAAGAATGACCTGGAAAATAAGATGGAAAATTAAATGAAAACTGGGCGTATATGTTGGAATTACTTTCTTCTGGTTGCTGGGAATGAAGGAATGGAAAAGAAACTGGAAACTGCTATAATGGGTTATTATATAGGGATTAGTATAAGAATCCATTCCTTCCTTCCCAGCTCACCAAAGGTAAGGGGTCCATGTAGGCATATAGTATACGTAATATGTTGAGGACCCGGTGGGGTTCCTGTGTAGCTACTTTGGGAGCCAAGTATATGCTGCGTAGCTACATGGACCTTGGCGATTAAAGAGCATTACCAACTTTTTCCTATAAGCCTGCTGAAGTTCTAGTTAACTGGCCGTCTCATTGTGCTAGTTTCTGTGTATTCGCGCCATTTGTTCCAGCAATTCCTTGCTCTTGAGCATTCGCAGCTGTCAGCAGCAGTATCGACCATAGACACCTCACCACCTACTCAAATTCCCCGAATGGTGCCACTAGATCCTGGCGTGAGATTATTTCTTATTCAGGGGTTGGTGGTAGGTCATGCGCGGGATGGACTAGTACAACTGTAGCGTTGCAATATGCGCAGTGCCTCAGGCCCTCGCCGAACAACAGAAGGCTGTTGAGGAAGCAGAGCAAGCCAAAATCAAGGCGTGTCGCCCTTGAAACCCTAAACCCCTAAACTCTAAATCCAACACCCTAAACCCTAACCCTAAGCCCTAAACCCTTAACCTCGCATCCCAAGCTTTCTAGAAGTGATTACATGCGTATCTGAGTCCGGGGCGTCAGGATGTTGGGATTGAAGTCCCCAACCGTCCATGTAGTTATATCAGCTGAATTGGTACATACATACTTCGGGCATACAGGGGCTCCCATCTTATAAATAGTTTAGGGCCCAAGTGTATGCCATGTAGCCACATGAACCCTTTGGGAGTGAGTGACGTGCAGGCTTTGTGGTATGGTTCTCAAACCAGGATTCCTAGGGTTTAGGGGTTCTAGGTTTTAAGGATTAATTAGGGTGTATGGCGTTTGGGGTTTCCAGGGTTAAGGGTTTATGGGGTTCAGAGTTTCTACGGTTCATAAGGTTTATATATTGGGTCCAGTTGTAGGATTTAGGGTTTAGGGCCCTGTGGGGCTTACAGCATCTGAAACAGATGAACGGTGCACATTCCTGCAAGACCTTAGGTCTAGAAAAGGCAACCAGACACCCGAAGCCCTAGCTACTACAAGGGACGCCAAAGGGCCCTAGGGCAAGCAGCCCATTGAAGCTTATCTAGGGTGTGGCGCGTAGGCTGAGGCTTCATCGTATGGGATATAGGCTTAGGGCCTTAGAGGAGAACATCTTGACATCTTGACGCACCTTGCCCGATGCGAGTAAGGTTCTCAACATATCAACATGAAGTAACACATCTGTTTGGAAGTATATTGCGGCGCTTTTTGCGGTGCACCTGCAGAGTTTGAAGGGTCGGCGCCTTGTGGGGATAGCTAAAAGCCGCCGAAAGGCAGCAACAATTAGGGCCATTCAATGACAGAGATATGGGCGTTTCCCAAAATTAGGGGTACCTTTATGGGGACCCCCATAATCAGAACTATAATATATTGCTGTTTAGATTGGGGTCCCCTATTTAGAGGAAACTACCACATGAGCTATAGTCTAAACTCCTTAAAGGGCGATATTTAGGGGAGTATATAGGGGAGTACTATATGGGTTATTAAGAGGGATACTAGGAGTTTAGACTATGGCTCATATGTCATCATCAAAGATCCCGGTCACCGCTGCTTCCCAAGACCCAGAGGATCTTTCGCAGCAGGGCCATAAGCCTAATCCGTCAACCCTCAACTCCGCATGCCCTTGTCTTTATACATATGAGCTGTGGTCTCAACTCCTTGAAGTTTACATAGGGAATTGTATACATATATATATATATACATATATATATATATACCCTTTATGTACCTCAAAGAGCATTGCTTGTCTAAACCTGAACCCTCAGCCCTGAACAAGGCGTTACCAAAGATATCCCACGCATGAAATGGACAAACGATAGGGCATGGAGCATTCTCATAATATGGATTACAGTACTTGGTGGTGATAAGGACAGAGGGGACGTCAGCTGCCCCGACCCCTATAATAAGGACCTATAAACTATCACGAGAACATGATAGGGCCTTAATTTGAGGGTTCAGGGTAACTAAAACCCAATAATACCTACTATAACCCCCTCACATAACACCTGTTTCGGTTTCATATTACATTTGATGTTCCCTTCGCTTTCGCATTTTCAGGATACTATCACTAAAATTGGTGCCTGTGTAGCTAGGGGCACGTCTATTTCTGGAAATACTGACCCGCCAGGCCCGCGAGGATCAGGAGAAATTCCTGCGCGAGGCAGAAGAGGCCAAACAGCAGGCCACACCAGGGCTTCCCAAAGTCAGGGTACTTGTTTTGTTGGGCTACCTAGAACAAAATTCCTTTGGACTATTGCCCCAAGGGTCCAGGTACACAACAATCTAATATACTTCCCCTAGATGTGTACTGAAACTAATAATACTAAATTCCCAATCACCCAAGTACTTTTTATGTGCAACCTTTGGGGAGTCCCTTGAAGGATCCCAGAGGGTAGATGTACCCAATAATTGGGTACTTGGGATTTGGGTAATAGTAACCTTGGTATAGATTTTGGCCAAGTATATGATTTTTGGGTACGTGGACCCTTAGGGGATGCTATAGGAAGGACTCCGACATAATCCTGGGGGATTAGGCTTCGGGATTTGGGATGCTTCGTTGGAGGTTGTGTAGGTTTCAGGGATTCTTGTTTAGGCCTCCTAGTCTGGAACCCCAGGGCTGTTTTGATCTTGGACTTTGGAGTGTATGGATGCTATAAGATTTGGGCTTCATAGTTCAGAGATGTGGGCGCGTGGGGGGTAGGTTTCAGGGCCTTTTCAGATGGTGACTGGGCAGCACGTGTGGGTAGCTTGAGCCTGATGCAGAGCGCTAAGTGAGGGTGTAGCGCTTGGGTTCTGCAGAGAAGTTGGGCAACGCTTGGTTGGCTTTCTTCAACACACAGTTTCAACCGGGTATCTCTTAGGTGGACCCCCCCACCCAGTAATAGTGACTATAAGAGATAATGGTAATTATATTAGGGTCCTCTTATAGTCCTATTATACCACTACTACAGGATAGGGGGTCCTCCTAAGGTATCTCTGGGGTGCAGGGAGTGTACAAATATTGGGTTGATATGAGCTTGAGGTAGGCATCCAATGAAGGTAGTCTCCTGTAGGAACTGACCCTCACAGTATGTGCAGTGTTGTTTTTGTTTTATTTTGTTTTTTTTTTACAATGTTGGTGCGAATAACAGTTTTGTTTTACCTATTTTTCAGGTCCAGGTGAACCTATAAGGTTTATGGGGTTCTATAGGGTTCGAGAAGCCTGGATCCAAAACCATACGACTGAAAGCCTTGAATCTTGAACTCTGATTCGCGCGGCTCTAAGGTTGTGCAAGGCTTGACGCTAGGACAAGCGCGTGCTCCTACATACCGTGGTCTTACTACAGTTTGGACCTTCTGCGTAAAGGGGTTATATAGGGGTTGTACGGTGATTATATGGAGGGATATACGTATACGGACTACATCACTGCGCACTGACGTTGGAAAAAACATAACCTGGCATCTACAGGTTGCGTACCGGAAAAATGCATGCACTTAATTGACCCCATATCGAACACCCTAGGGATCCAAATAGCCCAATGTAGGTAATATTTACAGACTTTAGGGCCCAATGTAGGTATTATTTGTATACTTAGATCCCCAGGGACAGATAGTCCTTAGCGTTCGGTTGGGTTTGAGGATTCAGCTACGCCACTAGGAGTGCATCGTCAGCTTGAAGCTGTTGACGTGCAACCCTGCGGTAAGACTCTTGAGGCCTTTACAAGCTGTCCTTAAAGCCTTCGCTTTTCATTCTTTTCAATTTGTGTTAGGTTCAAGCGCTCAGCTACAGCCCATCAAAGAGTTCAATGATGTTGGCAGACTCCCTGTGGCGGTTGCCGTTATTTCGGCGTGGCATGGCGCACGTTTAGAGGTTTCCAAGAAGTGGTGTGTTTCCAAGAAGGGGTGTCCTCCGCTGAAAGTTCGCCTTTCTCTGAATCTCAGCGTACTTGAATCCAGGCGAATGCCGAGCAGGAGAAGTTCTTCCGCGAGGCTGAGGAAGCCAAGCAGAAGGCCCCATGCTTTCAGGGAGGATAGGTTAAATGCAGACACTACAAGAGCATGCAGTGGTTTCCATGTAATGCTATTGAAAGACTTTTCATGTTTTGCGACGGGGAGGGTAATGTAGACCCCTGATTAATAAACCTCCTTCCCTTAATAGGGATTATAATAGGGATCCTAATATTAAGGCCCTGAAAAGGAGGGGGTTTATTAATCATGGGCTCCAAACCCTAAACCCCAAACCCTAAATAGTAGCTTCCATTTTCTTTTCCATTATCCCTATATAACCCCATATAATCCTACTATGACCCCTATATAACCCTATTGGGTCTACATTACCCCTGCTTGGCGAAGCCAGGCCCTTCTAGAGCAGCAGAAAGCGGCGGAGGAAGCCGCCGAGGCAAAACAAAAGGCGGGCAGTTGGGGCGGATGGTTAGGGTTGATTAGTAGTAAGGTATAGTAATCAAAAGAGCAGTAGTAATAGTGGTACTTGAAGGAGGACAGTAAGAAAATTATCGGTTTTGGATGGAGCTTTGAGTGCTGATCATTTAAGAGGTGACGCTTGGGGTAAGATTCATAGGCCTTAGTCTAGTTCATTTGTAGCCTGAAGAGCCTCATCAAAATGTTGGGGTTGAAAGTATTCTAAGTTTAGACCTTTGACAGGTGGAGGACTCGGTGTGGGGCAAGGCTGCATTTGACAGGTGCTGTCAAACACATGACACAAGCGAGCCCCAGAAACCACTTCATTTTACGCTACAGCTTAGCTACCTTTCCTCCCGCGGCTTGTCGCAACGAATCGGCGAACGGGCGCTTCATAGAGGCAGCGTATTCAGAATCGGATATCAGGATGGGTGAGGCGAGGCGGCACGGTTGCTTAGCGTGTCGTGTCGAACCTTCACAGTCCTTTAGCTTTGAGACCTGCGTTTGAATTTGGCATCTCCGATGCACCCAAATCCTGACTGGATCCCATAATTCTAACTCAATACCCTCCCGACCTTACCACACTCCACCACACCAAAACAAGGCCGAGATAGGCCAAGATAGGCGTTAGAGGTGAATTTGTATTTGGTGCAGGGGAACTCGTAAAACCTGCAATTGCATAACGAGCACAGCGGCACTTCAACGCATTATGAACAAACCCAATCTTTCCATGTAGCTATATAGTATATACTTGGGGCCCAAACCCATAGAACTACTTTAGGGCCCAAGTATATACTACATGGCTACGTACATGGACGCTTTGGGAATGAGACTGCTTGCTCATCCGTTCGGACTTCCCTCACAGATGAAGCTGTTCTGCTAGGCCCTTGCCGAGCAACAGAGGGCTGCTGAAGAAGCAGAGGAAGCCAAAGTGAAGGCATGTCCACTTCACTGAGGGTCTAGGGACTGTAGGAGGGACCCCGAATAGGGACCCTTAATCCCAGTACCATATATAACCCTTATATAGCCATTATATATCCCTTATATCATATCCCTAGGATGTCCCCATATTAATCCCCACAAGCTACAAGGGTCCCTACTAGGAGTCCTCCAGAAGTCCTTAGAGAGGGGCCATCAAGCGCAGTCTCCTTATCCTGCTCACACAGCCCTCCACATAGTAAAAACAAGTTTGGCCTGTTTCTAGTGGGCTAAGCATTCCATCCAAAAGTGCAAGGCAGGACCACAGAACTCATTCAAACAATTGGCTAGCCTCCTACCCGAAGGGTCCATGTACCCTGCATACCCAATAATTGGGGACCTACGGCTTTGGTAACAGGATGTATAGTATAGGTTTTGGGTGTGTATATGATTACTGAATACTTGGACCCTCAGGGCTATGGTATTCAGCCCGCCCATTCTGAGTATCATCTAGCCGCCTACGTTAAAAGCCAGCACTCAACTAAGAATGTGGAAGTTAAACAGCCAGTGTAGAATTGCAGCATGTCATTGAGAAACAGAATAATGAATGAGACAATGTTCCACTTTATTGTCATTCTAAAAGCCAACAAGACGATGGATGGCAAGGAAGGGTATGAGGACGACTTTGATATAATAAGCCACCCAGGCCCGCGAAGAGCAGGAAAAGTTTCTCCGCGAGGCTGAAGAAGCCAAGCAAAAGGCGTGGTATCCCCTGCCTTATAAGACCCTAGAGGTCCCAGCATGCAACAATTCACAAGCTGGGATTTGGTCAGTGTATGAAGACTCATCACTTGGACCCCCTGGGCTCTGCAATTTTTGAAAATGCCAACTTTAAGACAGAATGACTCATCACTTGGACCCCCTGGGCTCTGCAATTTTTGAAAATGCCAACTTTAAGACAGAATGATGCCCAGGGCTTCGGGCTTGCGAGGCTCAACCAGCCACGAATAACCCTGAGGGTCCAAGTATTCAATAATCATCTACTTACCCAAAACCTGTACTATAATCCCTATTACCAAAACCCTAGGTACCCAAGTATTGGGTACATGGACCCTAAATCCCAAACCCCATATATCCCTATATACCCCTATATATCCCCTTAAAGGGACCTATTTATTGGGTACATGGACCCTTAGGTTAAGATCATTCACACATTTTCGGACATCCCTGTCCTTTCGTGGAGCTGAGCTACTGAGCTCCAAAGAACACATCCCAAGAGCGCTGGACCCCAACTCTAAGCCTTGTAGTCCCCCTTAAGTACATAGAATATGGCTTTGGGTATATTGTAATAAAAATTAATCCCATATACCCCATATTCTATCTACTTAAGGAGGACTATAAACCCTACGTCCTAAATTTTTCCATCTTTGAACCATTCTCGAGTCTGAGGTGGTCCTCCAGGGTTCTAGGGCTGGCACATGTTTAGGGTTCAGGGTTTAGGGTTGATGGGCATACGTTGAACCTCGTTATTGGAGAACCCTCGGGTGTTTTAGTGTTTCTGTGCATGTGGCTGGCTGGATGTCAATCTAACGCTGACTACCAGGATTTTCAGAAGAACTTACATATGGTGGTAGCAATTATTATTTTCATGTCCCTATAAGAGTCAGATGTATATAAGTCGTTTTTACGACGCCACACCTTAATGAAAGTTCATAGTAGAAAAAATCCAAAGTATACAATTATAGTATGACAGACACTTAGGGTGTGGGTTCTTGCATCTAGGCTCGGCCACAAGGACACCGGCCATGAAAGTATATACATTGGGTGTCCCTGGGGCGGGGAACACCTTGAATTAAACCATGGGCCATTTAGTACCAAGGCCTTCCAACAGGGTTTAGGGTTTTGGATTAGCAACTTTATGGACTTTGCATCACTGAGGGACCGCACATGAATCAGGATTCCGCGTGGTTCTTGCTCAGAATACATGTCCCCAAATTGCCGTAAGTGCCACCAGGTCACAAGGTTGGATCACCTTTTTAGTCAAGATCTCCTTGAAAGGAAGTGTATTTTCACTGACCTGTAGAACAGCTGCGTATGTCAATCAGGGTTCCACTTTGGGGTTCACTTGCTTGGGCGAAGTATCAGTATCAGAGTTTCGGGTTCCAAGGTTCAGGGTTTTGGGTTCCGTTTCTGCTTCTTTGAGGCTGAACTTCGGTATTGAATGGGTCTCAAAAGATACAGGCGAGTATTGTCGTTACTGCCCAGCCACATGCGGCCGGTCGCAAGTGGGCTCCCAAGCACTGATCCTTAGACAGCGCCCCATAGCATACCTGTCATGATCTTCCTTCTTTCAGCTGCTAGAGCATGAGTGCAATGTTCAAGGCTCCAGGATGTCGAAGGCAGGCACGCCTTCTATACCCTCAGTACTTGCACATGGGGTTGAGGGTTTAGGGTCCCAAAACACAGCGACACAGTCCATGGAACCTAGTAATCGAAACTGGCAACTCAGTCTCTAGATGGCTGACAGTTCTCCTGGGACCCTGAGTTTTGCTTGCTAAACCTCAATCGCTGAGGCCTACCACCCTAAACCCTTACCTCCACCTCGGATAGGCTATTGAAGAGCAGCAGAGGGCAGCGGCGGAAGCGGAAGAAGCCAAGCTAAAGGCTACATGAGCCATAGTCTAAACTCCTTAAAGGGGGTTATATAGGGGATTATATAGGGGACGATTATAGGGGTTGTTAAGGGGGATACTAGGAGTTTAGACTATACTGTAGCTTACATGTTATAGAGCCACCTTCGGGTTTAGAGTTTAGGGTATAAGGTTTCGGAAAGTCAAAACTGAAATATCTTCGACGCTGATTACCACAACTTGTGTTTCAGAAGTTTGTTCGGAATTGTCAGGAATTGGAACTTGTTACGCGATTGTATGTGCGGCGTTTCAATAGCACTATATCTTCGGATATTAAGTCATAAATATACCTGTAAGGGGACCCCATTCGGTGTATGGACCTAGTGATCCGTCATTCTCCGATACAGTCCTAAAGATATCCACTCCTAAACCCTAAGCCCTGAACCCTAATTGTTGGGTATATGGACTTTTAGAGGACTTAAAGTGTATATCAATCGTGTGGTCCTCAACCAACCCTCTAAACCCAAAACCCTTTTTATTGGGTATTTGGACTCTTAGAGTTCCCGAATTATTGGGTATATGGATTCTTAGATTAGACCCTAAATCCTAAACTGTTGGGAGAGAGCAGGCCCTTCAAGAGCAGCAGAAGGCCGCTGAGGAAGCTGCAGAGGCGAAGCAGAAGGCCTTTTTGAGCTGTGAGCTTCAGGGGCCCCTTTAAAGGGGTTATCTAGGGATATGTGTAGGGATATGTGATGTGCGACATAGAGGGATATGTAGGGTTCAGAGTACCTGGATGTCCCAAACATTCAGAACAGTAGCCCATCTACCCCGGATTTTGTGGTTAGGGGTTCTTGTTTTGAGCATTTGGGAGGTAAGGTAGGAGCTTCGGAGAGTAGTTGATTTGGACCCAAAAGTATGTAACACGATGGTCTTCTTCGCCGGATGTTGTCTTTCTGTAAGTTGGCGTTGGGCCATTGATTTACCTACTCTTGGGGTTTGGGTAAGCGCTTGGGGGATATTAGGTTAAGAGTGTTTTCTGCGGTGCAGGGTTCGGGGGTATACAGAGTTAGTCCTCCCAAAACGGAATTCCAGCGTAGCACTAGTGAAGGCATTCATCTTTTGAGGGCTTCGGGGTTAAGCATGCGGGTGATTGGGCTGCTGCGTGGCCAGACAGCGGAATATTTGGTACTCTAAACCCTACCCTGAACCCTAAACCCAAACCATGAACTAAAAGAAGGTAGAGCCCCAGTCTCCTTCCAGCTGTCCCACCGCAGGTGTTTCATTATTTCGAAAAAGGCAAGTCTTACGGCGTTATCTGTGGGTCTGATCTGCAATAGTTCGTTATCCGCTCGTCCCATGAAGGTTGAGGTGGACCTCTCTGCCCAAGAGGGCATCTTGCAGTATTGCCTTGGATCTGAGACCCTGAAGCTTCAACTCTAAATGTGCATGTGGACCACCTCAAGCTCCTCAGCCCTCATGCGCCACAGCCGTATCGCTTCGGCTAGGCCATTGCCGAGCAGCAGAAAGCAGCTGAAGAAGCAGAGGAAGCGAAGCTGAAGGCTATTCTATAGCCAAGGGTAGCGGAGTTCTTCAAGCGTTTCAGAGGGGTCTGTATGTGCGGATGATGCAGGGTGACACAAGCTTTGGAAGGCAGGCCTGCAACAGGGCACAGGTGTATCAAAGTGTGCAAGTTTGGTTTGTTCAGGAGCGATATTTACACACCGTCGTATGTTGAGCCAGTAAAGATCTTGCCCTGACAAGGTGGCAGATGAAAGGAACGCGGACAAGTTACCCTACGGTGGATACTACAACCTTGCATGACGCTCAGTACCCTTAACCTGAGGAAGTATGGTACTCTGGTCATGCAAGAACTTTAGTGTCGAAATGATGGTGTTCAACCTTATGATGGCAAACCAGAGAGCCCGAGCCCTTCAGGGGGCTCTCTGACAGGCTTTGGTGGGTAATCACCCTAGTGACTACCTGGTGGCGTTCAGCCTTATCTTCGAAATGCCCCGACATGGGTGCACAGGGGATGTGAGGGGTGGCGATTTCGGGATGACAGTCCAGCCATGGATTTTTTTAGCCATCGCCAGGCGGCGGAGGGAAACACTTGAGCATCCCGGGTAAAGCGATTGAAGCGCCACATCGCTTCGGGTTTGGGGTTTGTGGGTATCTGCTTGCTAGGCTTTGCCTGTGATTTTCATTTCATACGTCACAGGGCCTCAGGGACGTCGAAGACTACCACCGTAATTCTCTTGCACCCGACAAAACAGCCTCAAAACAGCATATGCTTAGGTTTGCAGGAACATTGGATCAAGCATCAACCAGGACCTTCCTTGTACCCTTAATTGGGGATATATGGTCCCTAATACTGGGTACTTAGGCCCTGATAGAGGGTAGGAGGAGGGTCTAGGAATGCTTTGAGCTCCTGGTCGAACAACGCATGTCAACAACTCTCAGCCGGAAACCGGCAAAACGAGTGCAAGCTTGCAGGCACGTCAGGAGCAGGAGCAGTTTTTGCGCGAGGCTGAGGAAGCCAAGCAGAAGGCCTGTCATCCTGAGCAGCTCATGGCCCTTGGGTTTAGGGGTTGGGGTTTAGGGTTTAGGGGTTTTAGGGTTTTAGGGTTTAGGGACCTGCGCTGTGAGATGCACATGAGGTTCACTCCGCTCGAAACTAGAAAGCCCAGTGGCGGATACATGATTATTTGCCAAGACCCTCCTAGTACCCTCAATTGGGGATATGTGGCCCCCAATTGTGGGTACTTGGGCCCTAATAGAGGGTAGATGGAGGGTCTAGGAACCCTAAACCCTAAATAGTAGTTTCCACTTTATTTTCCATTCTCCCAAATATAGCCCTAATATATACCCTACTAAAACCCTAATAGAGGGTAGATGGAGGGTCTAGGTAAGGACTTTTGGTAAGGAGCTCGGTTGGGAGCCAGGCCCTAGAAGAGCAGCAGAAAGCTGCAGTGGAAGCTGCAGAGGCCAAGCAGAAGGCTGGCCTTTTCCCAGTGGAACTGGTTCCTCCTTTGCATATTGATCAAGATGTGTAGCTTGGTGCTGGTTATTAGCTTTCGGACAATGAAAATTTCAAAGTATTATCACCTTTGACCCTGCCAAATCTGAGAAAGCACAGAGTTTAGAGTTTTTGTGGGCTTATTTTGGTGGTTGAGGGGCGTTGCGTTCATTGGATTTAGCCATGCAATGCTTATGGTTTGCGTTAGCCTTGATGATACATTTGCGGGCTTGGGTGGGGCCGTGGAGATTATATATTATATGGGAGCAGTATGTGGCGTTCAAACTACCCGTGGCTGCGTGGTGGTGACTGCAGTGCTATTGTTAGTAGCCGTGGATGTTGCAGCGGCGGCCGTGGTAAACGTGGTCATCGCAGTAGCTGTTGTTTGAGCAGCTCAGGATTTAAAAGTTCCTGGAATGGGGGGTCTGGGATAGCACGAAAGCTGTTGACATTGGATAAGACATGATGAGACAAATGAGACCCCCTTGCATTGAAAGAAAAACTTGCGCGAGCGGATCCCTAATACTGCTTCGAGCCCTCGTTGATGCTAGGCCCTTGCCGAGCAGCAGAAGGCTGCTGAAGAAGCTGAGGAAGCAAAGTTGAAGGCTTGCACATGTGGCAGCGGGAGTCTATGCTGATCTAAACAGCCTAGTTAGCAATTCTGCGGGGGGCCTCTCCGCAGACGATGCTGGGATGGGATGAGGTTCTTGGGTAAATGCATGCAACAAGTACACCACGGGGTCTGTGGTGTTCTGTCAAGAGCTAGGCTCCCGGATGAGTCTCGAGCAAGAATGGGATCGGACTAGGGCCATACATACCATACCAGCGCCATAAAAAAGATCACAATGTGTCACGCCCCCCAGATGTTGACTTCTTAATTCCTGAGCGGAGGGGAACGTGCCCTTGAGGGTTGACATGATAAGTCTGGACCCTAGTTCGCTTAGTGCTGAACCTTATGCCCGAACTCCAACTTAAAAAGTGCCGAACTAGAGATTCACAACTCTCAACTTAGCTTTTCTGAGTAGATGTCCTTTTCTCTTGTTTGAACTGTTCCGACAGTTCCAACAATGAACACACATTTGTGCACCAGGGAGGGGTTGGGCCCCAATTTGGGAGATTACCCGCATGGGCCATGACTTGCCCAGCCAAAGGGATTTGTATTCTACAACCCCCTCCCCGCGGTACATGTGCAAGCAGGCAACTGCCTTGAGCCCACTGGGTCAAGGCATTCAACTGCCACGCAGTTTAGACTTCAAGCCCAAGATGTTGAACCCCAAAGTCTGTGTAGATACCATGGCGACCTGAACTTGCTTCTCTTGGTCCCTTGTAGCTCTTCAGCGTCTCTGCTAATACAGTACATGTGTGTTTAGGGGCTTCTTTTTCTACAACAAAACTGAGAGGAAGATGGTTGCAACCTGACAGGCGCGCCAGGAGCAGGAGAAGTTTCTCCGCGAGGCTGAAGAAGCCAAACAAAAGGCCGGTAATCCTGAGAAATGTAGGCATCTAAGTTCCCAATCGAAAAGGGAAAATCTTAGCTGTGAGGTACAGGTGTGGTATAGTTCTCTACAACTAGCAACCGCATAGTGAACGCGCATTTGCGGACTGGATGTCCATGTAGCCAGGCCATAGAAGAGCAGCAGAAAGCTGCAGTGGAAGCTGCAGAGGCCAAGCAGAAGGCTGGCCTTTTCCGAGTGGAACTGGTTCCTCCTTTGCATATTGATCAAGATGTGTAGCTTGGTGCTGGTTATTAGCTTTCGGACAATGAAAATTTCAAAGTATTATGACCTTTGACCCTGCCAAATCTGAGAAAGCACAGAGTTTAGAGTTTTTGTGGGCTTATTTTGGTGGTTGAGGAGCGTTGCGTTCATTGGATTTAGCCATGCAATGCCTTGATGATACATTTGCGGGCTTGGGTTGGGCCAGATGATGCATAATTTGGGTGCAGTATGCGGCGTTCAAATTACCCATGGCCTAACTGTGGCGACTGCAACCACATCGTTAGTAGCCGTGGCCGTTTCAGGGGCGGCCGTGGTGGTCGTGGTCATATCAGTCGA